AACCGCTTCAAGGGCTCCTGTCAATCCCACCGCTTCGAAGCGTCACTGTGAGCGCAACTCCTGTGCCTGGCGGGTACGTGGTCTGCGACGTGGGGAGCAGTCTGGCATTTCCCATCATTTGGAAATAATTTTCCATTGTTATCAAATAACACGGGATCCTTCTGATTTACTTCCCCCTGCACGCAGCGACAGCCCCCCGCACAGCGTCAATGTGACTATTGTTCGGTTGCTGATTAAGCCGAGCACACCCAGCCACAGTGGAAAGTCCTTTATGGAAGGAGGACCTTGATAAGATACTCATATCTGTTCTGTCTCGGCTGTGCACGGGCAGTTAAAAAGTAAATAATGTGGACAAACAGGCTGTGATGTACAGGCAGGGGAAAAGATTTCCAATACCATCGGGGACTGCATGGGTCGGTACGGTTTGAGAGGCTTAAGAGACAGGGTTTCCGAGAGGGCAGAGTACGTGTGCCTTGAAAGCAGGGCCCCTGTATAGAGTGGCTATCAATAGTATTTTCATTATCAAGTAGTTAAAATTCTAGTTAAACACTTCCCTTTCGTCCTAGCAGGAGAATTTGCAGCTCTGGATGTTGGCACTGCGGGAGATCCTGGGGTCTGAGCCCAGTGCAAGGCAGAGCAGGGTGGGCTGCGCAGCCCCCTCGGCTGTTCTGACACCTCCATTTCACCTGCAAAGCCCAGAAACAAGAGCCTGGAAGGGTACAAAAAATTGCCATTTGTGCCAAGCCAGGTCAGAGTGGGAGACTTTTTGCTGGTAAATAAAGAGCAGCAGGATTTCCAGAAGCCCGTGTGGCTCTGCTCATCCCAGGTGGCTGCAGCTCTGCAGGGCTCCCCAGGCACCGAGGTCCCTCACACTCAGGTCCAGATCCCCACGGGAGCAGCCAGGGGGACACCCACAGCCCTCTGCGGCGGCTGCTGGGAGGTGCCACAGGTGTGTTGTCCCTGTCCCCCTCCAAATTGCACTAACTTGATTATTGGCAGCGTGGATTTTAGCCCAGGAGCTGCACAGCAGCTCTGAAATAATGATCGCGTTCATCTGGAAACTGCTCTAGCGCCTTCTGAGGCGTCTAATTTCATAAAGGGCTTTTATGGGAGATTTTGGAGCGAGGAGCGATCGGCTTTCCCATTGCTCACAGAGACCAGAATCTCTTTTTTTGGGATGCATTCAAATCAAAAGGAAGAAAACACCTGTCCAGCACATTTCCTTAGACCCCAAAGTTTTCAATCAAAATTTTTAATGTTCTTTTTCTTTCCATCTGCATTTTTCAGCAAAGACAAACAGCCTCATAGTATTTCTTCAAAGGAATGTAAATTCCTTAAGGAAGTCTCCGGAGTTCCCAGCACCGCATAGCTGCAAACCACAGACGCCTACGGCTGAAAACTCTGCTCTGCTTTTAATTTTGGGGCAGGGAAGGAATTCTTTTCAGGGGTTTGGGTTCACTTGTGCTGGGCCCGTCAGGCCAGACTGCTTGTTACTGCACAGGGGAGTGTTGACTTTGGCCGGCTGCAGACAGTTGCTTTCCCTCCACAAGAGTATTCCCCCACTGAATCTGATGACATGGTGCAATTATTTCATTAGGATTTTTCCAAAAAACGTTCCCTCAGTCTCCTCTAGTGCTAGAAAGACCTTTTCCTTCTGTTTTCTTGTTTCAGCTTTGGCAGCTTTGCATGAAAAATGCAATTAAGGGTGGCAGCGCTGCTGCCTGGGTCCAAATCCTCAGGGAGGGGGGGTGGTGGGGTGAGAAAGAGCAGGCTGGAGAAAACTGTGTGTTTTGAAGGGTGCCGTTAAACTCCCTGGGGTGAGTGAAGCCTGTGCGCAGGAGCTGCTGCTCTACAGGAGGCCCCTGTTTCGGTGGCAAGCTGCTCTCTGAGAAAGCTGGGGCAGCTGCTGCTGGGGCTAAGCAAAGGGAGAGGGTGGCTGAAACATGAAGGGAACAGTGTCCCCGCTCTCCTCCCCAGTCTCCCGGGTGAATGACATCCCCACTCTTGTCCCAGTCCTGCGCCAGTGGCTAAGTGAGCTCCACGCTGCCCCACTCTGCTCTCAGCGGCCCTGTACCTGTGCTGGCATGAACCACCGTGGCCTGTCCCAGCCCCAGACCACCCCTTGCCCGCCAGCAGTGCCTGAGCAGGCAGCAGCCTGGCTTCAGCAAAAACATCCAACCCAAAACATTCCCATGCCTGGCATGGGAACTGGCAGCGCATTAGGAAGGTTCAAAACTAGGTTGGATGGGGCTTTGGGCAACCTGGTCTACTGGGAGGTGTCCCTGCCCCTGGAAGATGATGTTTAAGGTGCCTTCCAACCTGAACCGTTCTATGATTCTATGATATGGCACGCAGTCCACAGGTTGGACTAGGGCCGCACTTCGGGCAGCCCATTGGGAGCTGGTTTGGCTGCTGCCGTGCGACTGGGAATGGGAGCGAGGGCCCAGTGCCTGGGCAGGGACGCGGTGCGAGAATACGGGGACGGGGCACCGGGAGGATGGGGGACACCGGGATGATGGGGGCACCGGTGGCATAGGCGATGGCGCGCTGGGGAAAGCAGCGGAGCAGGCCCCGCCCCCTGACCTGGCCCCGCCCCTCCGGCCCC